ACTAGGTATCTCTCAAAAATCGAAAAAATTGAACTTTTCAAGAACGATGTCTACAAGTATGCAATAATTTTTCCGGCGAATAGAAGTCTCATTTTGAATGGTTTTATTAATGACATCGTTTTTTAAAAGTTCAACTTTTTTGATTTTTTGAGAGATACCCAGTGTGAACCTATCATTATTTGGAGTACGGTAGATGAGAATGAAAAAAAAGCAGAAAAACACAAAATTGAAATGAGCAATGCTCATCTGGTGCGCAAAAACCACTATACAAAAATGCAGAAAAGTTCTGAAACGTCGGGTTCTGAAACGTCGGGTTCTGAACTGTCGGGTTCTGAACTGTCGGGTTCTGAAACGTCGTGGTTCCGAAACGTCGGGCCCTGAAACGTCCAGGAGCCAAAACTGACCAAGTGGCAAAAGTATCCAGATTCATTGCGTTGATTAAAGGTGGTAAGACATAAAAAAAACGCTTTTTTCAGACTTTCAACTTTCATATCTCCTTTGGATCGATTCGTACAAAAAAGTTGACAACTACAAAATTGAAGCTCTAGTTGCGTTTAGTATACTCTAATATTTTCAATCGTTCCGACAAAATCTTTTATATTTTGAATGCATCAAAAATTGCAGATTTTTCACTTAAAGTATTAGGTTGGCGGGAAAGTCTTTGTCACTCTGTTTGTTTAATCACTGTTCTCGTATATGGAGGCTGTGTATGATATCGACTCTAGTGAATAACAAGGTGATAAGAACCTTCCATATAAACAAGTCCCCATTTCCTTCCCTGCTCCTCATCTGTAATTGAAACGATATGTTTGTTCCCACTGCTATTCACATCAGACATGTTTTGATTTACCTCTTCCTATCTCACACCACGATGAAGGATTCGGAAACTTTCTTGAAGAATGTGTACAACACACATGCCCCTCACTACAATACTATTCGCAATTGGTTCCATCGTTTCGAAAAAGATGACTTCTCGCTCGATGAAAAGGATCGCTCTGGGAGACCCCGTGAGTTGGATTTGGACAAGCTGAAGCACGCATTGCAATCGGATCCATTTCAATCTAGCCGTGAACTAGCTGTCTCATTCGGAGTTCACCATAGCACAGTCCTTGAAGGTTTGAAGTCTCTTGGAATGAGAAAACTTTTTGGTCGATTCATACCTCATCACCTGACTCAAGCCAACCTTGACCGCCGAGTCGACGATTCGATTACTCTTCTCACTCTCCACGCGGGCGATCGATGGCTGGACCGGCTAATAACCGGAGATGAGAAGTGGGTCTTCTACGATAATCACCACAGGAAATCCCAGTGGGTTGGAGAAGGAGAGAGCCCACAGGATGTCCCCAAACCCGACCTTCATCCGAAAAAAGTTATGCTCTCTGTGTGGTGGGGAGTGGACGGCCCCATCTACTGGGAACTTCTGCCCGAGGGCAAAACAATAACTGGAGACCTCTACACTACTCAACTACGAAACCTCAAGAAAGCAGTCGACCGTTCGGCCCTGAAAGACAAGAAAGTGTACTATCAACATGATAACGCTCGCCCACATGTTTCGAAACAAGTGAAGCAGGAGCTGATGGGATATGGATGGAATGTTCTCCCTCACCCCCCGTATTGTCCTGATCTTGCTCCTTCCGACTATTGGTTATTTGGCGATATGACACGTGCCTTCGAAGGAAGAAGCTTCAATTCCCGTGGAGCGGTCGAAGCGGCACTCAAACAATACTTTGCCTCACGCCCGGCTGGATTCTACCGCAATGGAATCCATAAATTGAGGGAACGTTGGAGACATGTTGTTGATAATGATGGACAATATAATTAATTATTCGGTTATTTTTTCTTTGAGAAATAAACTATTGAAAAAGTGACAAAGACTTTCCCGCCAACCTAATAGGCTAAATTATTGTCATTTTCAGATTATTCTGTCGACGAATTTCCAAAGAGATGTGCGAGAAAATGGAGAAACTCAAACTTCCGATTGACAAATTGAAGGTTAACATTGGTATCGAAAGCATTGAAGTAGTCATATTCTGTAGAGAATACCCAATGGAGATTAAATATCAAGGAAAGGAATATAAGGCTTGTGATATTTTCTTTCTGATGAAACATCCGGATCTCAAGCTGAAGAAATTGGCATTCCGAATTGCAGAATACGATCGATTTATTGATGTTACCATGCAAACGCTGATTGTGAGACTTCTGGAACAATTAGAACATAAAATTAATGTCGAAAAGGTTTCATATACGTGTAGCAGCAAAGAGCTCTATGTTCCAAATACGGTCACAAACTATTTGCCGAAAATTCTGCAAGCTTGTCAGCCGGAAACTCTCAAATATATCCGATTGTGGGGTGACGGGAAAACTTTGGACACGAGTCTATACAAGAATCAAGGAATTTAATTTCGAAAAAGTTTATGAAACTGAGCAATGGAAGAAAGCGTTTCTATTCGAGGATTACAACGGCCTCGTTTCCAAGGATTGGGCAAATCTGGTTCATTTTGAGACGATCAGTCTGAAATCACTGGATCAGAATGATTTGAGAAATTTGCTGAACGTAAGTGTTTTCTTATTCAAAGCGGTTCAAATATATTTGTTCCACAAGTTAACCTTCTTGAAGGGAATTCCATGACATTCAATTTTTTCTGGTTTATAAGTTCTCGTTTTCAGTACATTCCAAAAAAAGCAACATTCAAAGTGGTTGTGGATAATTTGGAAATTGAAGATGTCAAGGCTGTGTTTAGAAATTCTGGAAAATTCGATAAGAACCCTGAATCTCCTGAATTCGACTTTCCGTTCAAATTCTATCGAGAATTAGGAGATGGACGTGTTCTGGTGTATGACATGACTGATTGCCAATTTGATATATATTTCCAGCAGGAAGCAGAACTAAATCAACCTCTTTGGGATTTGAAGTATATCTTGCTAACCTTTTCTATGTGCTTTCTTGTTTATTTTTTTATTGTGAATTATTTTGTCAATGTGATCGAGTTTTTAAATAAAATTGTGCCGTCCCAGATATAGATCGGTGAGACCTATTCAAGACGGTCTTTTGAACATGTTGGACAGAGTTAATAATTAACGATTTATTAAGACTCAGATAGTGAGGGCTCGATGTAGGAGAGTTCCGGACCGTTGAGGCATCTTTGAAGCGTTCATGGTTAGTGGTAGTGTTGTATGCAGATGATCGGTCAGCAGATGTTGAAGGCACTTCAGTCGTTGGTGCTGCTCTCCGGTGTTGGTGCTCAGTCAGAATGTGATCCTCTTCATGTTGATATCGTCGATACTGATTGATAATGTCTGTTTGTCTCCATCCTCTTTCTTTTATAGTGAATTCTGTTGAGTGCCACATGAATGTCCAGAAGGCCAGAGTAGATCTTTGTGGCAGTAGTAATAATGGTCACGTATCTTACTCCAGAAATGTCCTCTTTTATATTCATCGTCGATTATGTCCCAGTCAGAGTGGTTGTATGATACTGCTGGTTAAAGGTCGTGCAATAGGTCAACCTATGGTGGCGACAAAATTTTTTCAACAAAACTCGGACATTGGGACATCAAAGACAGACAGATTATCAACTTTACCTATTTTCCGTTGAAAATTGTCAACTTTGCATGTCTAAAAAATTTAGTAGATTTTGTTTGATAAAACTGAAATCTTCAGTGTATACTAAACAAAAATAGAGCTTCAACTTTTTAGTTGATAGTTTTTCAGACAAATACGCCCAAATGAGATTTATCGCTGGAAATCAGTCAACTGTCAAAACTTCAAGAAAAAACACCAATTTTCAAAAAACAGTATAACTGGTCTGGATGAGCTTGCACAAAAATGTTTTTAACTGCAAGAATGAAGCTCTATTTTTGTTTAGTATACTCTAAAATTTTCAGACCAATCGAGCAATTTTGAGCTACTTTTGTAAACAATTAAAATTGACCTAAAAACCTCATGTTTTTGATCTCTCATGTTTTGACCTACCGTATCCAAAGTAGCCGGCAAGATGCATTTTCTCAAATTCTTTTTCAAATGTCTTTTTTTCTCCAAGTTTCATTTTTAGCTTCTATTTTTATCTTCTCAATGGACGGCGCAGAAGCACCCGACGAAGAATTCGTGGAAGAATTTCTGAAAGAAATATTCAATTCAAAAATTTCCATTGAACAAGCGCATCGAGAGCTGTGCAGGTTGCTTTTGGGAAACGTTTCAGGGACAGGTGAGCGATTTTTTTCAATTTTTGGATTTCAATGAATTTTTTTAGAATATGTGGCCCAACAATTCGGAAGAAGAGTGGAAAATTACGATGATAATTTATTAACAAGATATCCGATAACGAAAGTTCGAGAATTTTATGAAAAATTTGCGATGGAGAAATTTGAAGATTTTCGGGATAGAAGTCTAAAAATGCTCGAGAATTTAGAAGACGTCGTTCAGTTGTAGGTTCTTGGAAAGTAATCATTCGCGATCACTCAGCCAGCTATAAGCTTACGGTTGTTCTCAGTTAGATGTGCAGGTTCCTTATGGTTACTGTAGTAAGTTCGCCGCCTGAAATTGTTACTGTAACTTTAATCCAACAAAGAGAAAACAGCGGTTTCATAGAAATAGTGAAACTGTAAAATTTCGAAATACGAAAAATGTTATATTCTTGGTGATCCTATTTACTACTGTGATTCTAAAGTGATATCTTTACCTACAGTAATCCATTATCTGAATTACTGTATCTCCAGCTAAATCAATTAAGCTTCTATTAGGTTACTGCAGCTCTAGTCAGATTACTGTATATTTACTGAATCTACAAGTATCTCGAGCCCCCCAAAGATCTAAAATTTATTGAATTAATTGTATTTCAGAATGTCCATCCGAAGAATCTCTGTCAAAATTTCAAGTCTCGCCAACTGGTTCAAAATTGTGAATATCAAAAAACTGAAGTTCACATTGTGTTGTATTGAGAATGAGCAATGGATACGAATCGATATCACTGAGAAACCAGAAGATCCAGAAAAGAAAGAAGATGAGCCCGAACCTGTACTAACTTCAATACTTTACAAGCAAAACCTAAACGATGTTCATGTGGAATACGGTACTGGAAATGCATCAGTTCTCAAAGATTGTGATCATAGGAAAGTGGCAATTTTCGACTTGGTGTTTCTCCTACAAGCACTTTCGGAAACATTGGAAGATCTAGAGTTTAGCATCAGTCCATACTTGCTTACTTGCCCTGCTAAGTATCCCGATCTTCAAGCCTATTCATTAATTGGTTCAATTCTAAATGACTACGATCCTCCACCACAATTCCCTGTTCGCCGTCTCAGTTTTATGTTTACCAGATTTCACAGCACCAACAATTTCAATTGGGAGAAAAGAGAAGAGGACACTGATGAGGTGGCACATATTTTGAAATACCTTGATCCTGGAACCCTGAACTGGCTATCATTTCGAATTTGGAATGATAAAATGGTCCAGAAGGGAATGAAGGGTGCCCAACTGATGTTTCATCCAAATTTGAGAGGATTAGAGCAATGGAAAAATGCATACGTTTTGGATATTCGTGATGAGTTTGTGGCAAAAGATTGGAAATTGTGCGATGAGTTCTTGGTTATTTTGATGGCTTCATTGTTGAAGGAAGATATTGAAAAGGGTGTAAAAGTGAGTATTTGGCCAGTTTTTAGTGGGATCAGTTTTCTTTAACAGAATGAATTTTTAAAAAATAAGAAAAAGTCAAAAATTCATGTTTCTAGCGCTTCTGGCTAAGGCTTCCATTCGGTCGGGAAATTGAGCCGACCGACCTACCACCGACCCCGCCGACCGACAGCCGACCGTTTTCGTGCATTTGCGCGTCAACGTGTTTGCATACGCAGCATTGTATTTTACGACAAACTGCTTTCACTAAATGCCTCATTTGTCGTGAAATGAAATGCTTCGTACTCAGAAATTCGTATTTTTATGCGCAAATGCACGAAATCGGTCGGTGCGCCGGCCTGTCGGTCAGCTGTCGGCTGTCGGTCGGCGGTCGGTCGAAAATCGAAATGGAAGCCTTTCTTCTACCAGCTAAAGTATGCCTTTTTCAAAGTTTTGAAGAGACGCAGACTATCATAGTGACTAGCTGTCTTTTAGACAAGCTAGAAGTGTGATTTTTGGACCATTTTCTGTAGTATTCAAAGTTTTTTTTAACCAGAAAATTAAAAAAATTTTGGCTTGAAAAATTTACATTTGGCATGCATTGTTTCTTTTAAAATACAGTAAACACTCCAATGGAATGACTCCCCTAACTTTCAACGTTCAGTCAATTTATCTCGATTTCTGTAAGAGACATCAAAAAGTGATAAACTGACAAAATATTTTTTACAATATCATGAACATTTTATCAAATTATCATTTTTTGATAACTTCTACAGTAATCGAGATATATGGGCTAAAAGTTGACGGTTCCCAAATCATATTAGTTTTTTCCCGATTACATAATTTTCCAATTATTATTTTTCAGTATTTCACAAGGAACCCACCAAGGAGTATATGTATTATCCATGTGAATCAAGAACTGGACCTTGAAGAAATCCAAGAGCTGTACCCAAGCGCTTTCAATTTCGAACCAGGAAATATCAGGATCCTGAAGGAATCCGGAGAGCTCACTGTTAGTCTGACCTTTGCAAACCATACGCTTACTGTAGCAAGTTATAAAACACTGCTCGACCCAACGATCTATAGAAAACACCTTTTGGAAATGTTCAATGAAAGAACTTCGATTTCAAAAGCCCACGAGAGAATGTGTCAATGGATTCGGAGGGGCGAGAAGCCGATTGCAATAGGACAAGTTGGTCCCAAAGAAATACATTATCAGTATAGGATAAGGCCAGTTCCTGGAGGTTTCTATTATGCCGAGCCTGCTGTAATTGCATCGGAAAACATATCACTTTTATATCCAATTTCAAGCGTCAAAAAGTTTTATGATGAGTTTGCGGAAGCGTTTCTAGCTAGAGTGGATAATACTGCAGCGGAAGTGGAGGGTGATCCGGTTTTGGATACAGTGGACGACATTTTGCAATTGTGAGTTTTTTTTTGGATAAGGGTATTCTTTGGGATTTCAAGGTGATTCAGAAAATAAATACCGTTAGACCTGTAAAAAAAAGGGCTCCCTATCTTCTAGCTTTGAGCTCATATATCTCATTTCCTCTCAAAGATATAAAATGTTGTAAACTTATAAAATGCTTATCATGATATCAGAAGTGTTTTGTCAGTTGATTATTTTTTGATATCTTGCATATAACGAAATTTATATAACGAAATTTTTCTGTTTCAATAAAATCATAAATTGTAGAACTTGACAAGAGCTACAATGTTGCTTGATTTGGCAGCTGTTTTGTCCCATAACTTGGGTTAAACCGTTTCAAGCAGAAAGTAAAATGTTAATTAATCTGTTTCAAGCAGAAAATAAAATATAGAATTGGACAAAATCTAAAATTTAACATTGAATTTCACTTGTCTGTCGAACTCTACATGAGAGAGCAAAAAGCAGCAGGGCCAGAAAAACCTTTACTGACTTTGCTCGCCCGGCTGTTGAGAACTTGCGTTAAACTCGCAATTTATGTTCCAGTCATAAAGTAAAGGAGAGAACTTGGCAAAATCTATAATAGGTAATTTTGACAGTATTTGTATACCGAGTTCGACAGAAGCATAAAAAATCCGGGCTCCATTAAGGGCTCGGCTCCTATATGTGCCCTGGTGTGAGTTTCATCCGTTGAATATAATAAAATTTAGTGTCATTTTGTAGATTTTGTCAATACCTACATTTCATATTTTGAATCAAATTGAAATTGTAAGTTTGAATCGAGTTATTGGTCAAAACAGCAGAACGAGTGCGAAACCAATTCTGTCCGCCAAACTGTTTCGGCCTATAACTTGCTTCAATCTTACTATTTTGGTTCCACTCAAAAAGTGAAACATAGAACTTGACAAGATCTACAATATCACATCGAATTTCACTCCGTTTGTACGCCTAGTTCTACACCAGTAGTCATAAGACAGCCTGTTGAGTTCAGGCCGAATTCAGCTACATTTCTTCACGAGCTCTGGTTCAAAACTCGGGTTATGACTATAGTGCAATTTAGTGTCATTTTGTAGATCTTGTCAAGACCCACACTTCAATTGTCAAATCAAACTGAAATTCTAAGTTTGAACTGAGTTTCGCGCTTGACGCCAATATACCATAAGAATTCGACATTCTTGTAGTGTTTCCGGTAATCTGAAAATAAGACTTTTCTTATTTCAGCATGTTCTGTCGACGGCTCTCCTGGCAACTTTACGGAATCACAAAAGCATACATGTTTCAACTCGATGTAGTGTCTTTCACTTTCAGTCATGAAGAGATTCTTCTCGGATTGAAAACTGGAAATTGTGGATTGGGCTGGGTAAAATACACACCAGAAGGTCCAAATGTGTGTATGTCGTTTTCTTCGGAACGATCTTTTGAAGCGAGAATATGTGAACGGTACAGATCAACTATCCATAATGTGAATCTCAATTTAATCGCTGTCACGGATTTGGAGTTTATTCTGAGAAGACTATCGAAACCGTTGGATGAATTGAAGTTTATGATCAAACCATTCGTTTTACGCTCAAATGAGCCTATTCGTTTTCCAGATCTTTCTGTGTATGGAATGATTGATGCGGCTCTGCAAGGCTTGGAAATTCACAATCCGAGGTTTGAAAAAGATATTAACCCAAATTTCGATGATATACAAGAGGACTACAAGAGGACAAAACGATTACTACAAGTTGGTCATTTGCATTTCACTTTCACTAGAGCCAAATTGTTTGAAAACCCTCAAAATTTGGAATATGAGGATTCACAGGAATTGCTGAAAATACTGAAGCATCTGGAACGTAAGAATCTGAAATCGTTGACGCTTCGAGTATGGGACGATAGACAATTGCTGAAAAAACTCGGAAACCGAGTTACAGTACTGCCACAGCTGTTCGTCGGTAGATGTGTCCGAACAACTAAACATTGGATGAGATTAAATACTTTGGATATTGATGATGAGCTCATTTTAAGAAATTGGAATTTTTTGGCACATTTAAAAACTGTTGTGGTTTGGGAACTATCAATCAGAGATGTTCGAAATGCATTGAGGGTAAGTTTTTTTTTCGGTAGAACGAACTTGAAAATTTTTTCCAGAGATTTGAAAAGGTGATACCCGTCACTGGATACACGATACGACCGAGAAGGAAAGGGGATTTGAATGAATTTAGAACATATTTTCTAGAAAAACTGAGAGAGCCAAACCCTGACACAACGTCAATTACGATCCAGCAGGAGGCTGAAAAAGACCAACTGATTGAGATGAGAGTTGAATTAGATGAAGGTAAAAACACGGTGGCTACTGTGACAGCTACAGTCCAATTAAATTAACTAGTGTTGATTATGTTTTTATATTTATTTTGCATGTGAATAAAGTTTGATAAGACATTTTCAATAGAAATTTGATGGGAAGAATATGTACAGTACCGAAAAATGATATATGAAATTCTGACTGTTTCAAAAGAACCCCGGGGGTTATAATGAAATTTTCCCCAGACATATGTATCAGAAAACCGAACAATTATATAAGAAAACTACTAAAATTTGTAATTAACAAAAACTTATAATAAAAAGAGAAAAAGAGTAACTGATTATGTCCTATTCTTATCTCTCTTATCAAAGCAAAATCCGGGAAATTCTGTATATAAATTTGAGAACACAGAAGAAAGGTAACTACATTTTTATAACAATGAAAAAGTTCCAAAAGACGGCTGCAGAGATACAGATGAACATGGAAAGTGAATAGTAGGTTTTCAGAAGGATCCGTTTGTGAAATTGGAAAAAAAATTTAAAAAGATGTTTCAAAATTGTGACACAATTTTTTGAATATTTTGATATTTTGTTTCTGCTTATACAATCACAAAGGTAACACCTAAATCTGAAAAAAAATTTGGAAAAAATTAGAAAATTGGACAAATCGATAAAGTTTAAAACGAGCCTTCAAAAAAGTGGAAACTATTTTTGAAAACTATTCCATAGTGCTCCACTGCTTTGAAAGACGGCATAATCATTCTGGGATACATAAGCTAGCGACTTTATCGATAAAATAATTAACTAAAAGGAGGCCAGACACCAAAAAAAGTTTTCCTGATATTTTGCATAGAGAACCCCCATGAGGGGTTGAACTCATGACAGGCAACTCAGGGGTACAGCCCCGCTACCGGCTGAGCTACGGGAGGCGCCTGACGACCGATGGTCGATTTCGTCCCCCGAACTGTCCCCCGAAATTTTTGCTGTCTCGCCTCCTTTAACATCGAAAATCACGATTGTTTTCTCAAAACCATACAGGAATTACAAAACGAAATTGAAACAGGAAAATTGATTTATCCCAAAAAACACAGTCTTTTGTAAGCTTTCGCATTTTTCACAAACGTTCCCTGGGCTTACAATACAATTGGTAGTTAATTTAAAACATACTTGCAACGGGCCCGGCCCGCGACCCGGCCCGTCTCGGCCCGCCGGCCCGCCTTTTCTCAGTAAAAAAATTTCTAATGAAAGATTGGGACATTTTTTTGAATTAAAAAAGAAAAAAAGTTACATAATTTTCAAAAGTTATGAAAGTAGTCAAAAAATAAAGTTTTTGATTAAATTTTTGAAAAATATATAAAATTTTCGAAAAAAAAATTCAAAAAAATCAGCTACTGTACAAACAGCGGGCCGGCACTTCATCGGCCCGGCCTGGCCCGCCAAAATTATCGGCGGGCCGGGTCGCGGGCCGGCCCGGAATTTCGCAAGTATGATATAAAAACAGAAAAAATTGTTGAAAAAATCCCAAAAGACCGGTAAAGGTCCAATTAAACATAAAAAGTGATTATGCGATTCTCAGACAGCTGAAATTCCAAATATTTGGAAAAAAATTGTTTCAAAATTTTCACATACCGTAAAACCTCTAATAGAACGACACCCGG